TAACTTTGCACATTTGAATGATTTCAGATTTTGATGGTTTATTGTGGAGTTGTTAAATGAGGAGGTTTTTAAAAACTCTTTAAAATTGCAGATTCATTTCCCCTGAGCATTTGATATTAGGTCAGAATGGGGTCAGTTCCTTGCCATTTTTTCTACCCCATTACCTATTTCCAAAATAATCCACTTTAATTATGAAGTGACATTTTATTTTTCTGTCAGGACTTTAATTATGAAGTTCCACATTATGTTTGCAAATTTGATTATGAACTTTTAAAATTAGTAGTTTACTATTCTTGAAATCTTTTCATCTCAAGTCAGAAGGGTGGCAACACTTGACCAGTTTTGTCCACACAATTAGCTTTTGGACCAAATTACTGTAAGCCTCAAAATTTTTTAAAATTGTTCATTAAACTGTTACACTTATTGTCACTGCCAGGACATTGATTATAAAATAACATTTTAAGTTTGCACATTTTATATCTGAAACCAAAAGTCAGGGAATGTTTGAAATTTCAAAGTCTTTAAACAAATCTTTCCTCATTATTTTGAGCACTTATTTCATACACTCATGGTAAATGGAAATATGAAAATGGATTAAAATGAGAACACTGCCCCAAACAACTTTCCAACAATGGCTTTCAATCCTTTTCAACTTTGATTGTTTTTTTTGAGCCTTTTCAAATTTTCTTGGTCACAACTTTCAAAATCATTCAGGAGGTCCCTCTTTAACTTGTTTCTGTCATCCCACCCCAATACTTCCTGCCTATCAACAATTGAAATTTGGTCTCCTTGGATGCTTGTTTCACCCTGCACAATCAAATAATCCTTTTCAGATTTCTAGAAAATCTGGGAAAAAAATGATTAACTAAAAAATTTGACTTAGTTAAACCTTGTCTTGTAGATGTTCAGCTATCCCTGCCCCTCCAATGTCTGCCATTTTATTATTTGGTTGGGATACTGATTCTTGGGTAGATGGGGTGTTATTGGAGTGCTTATCAATGAATGCAGCTTTGGACACACTAAAACTGTCTTCATATAGTGCACCCTGAGATTTTGAAACTTCCATTTCAAACATCATTTTCCTCTCCACAAGTTCTTCAATCTCATCTGGCAATTCCCCTTCATTTTCCTACATGAACAGAATGAATAGTTAACAACCCAATTAATATTTTTTTAACTCTATTTTATTTAAAAACTTACTACTTTTTTAAAAAGCTCCTCTGCTTTCTTTCCAAGGATCCTTATGCATTGCTTATCCCATAA